TGCTACCAAAACAGTAGTGATCACAATTTAACTAAAAAATAAATAAAGCACTTCTACACAAAATGTCAAGAAAGACAGAAAGAATAAGGGCAAAATGGATTGAGCAATATATCAAATAAATGGTGCTATAATTATCAGCTTAAACATATGTGAACAGTCTAACTCAAAAACGATAAGTATTGAGAAACTGAAATCAGTATGTAAGATTTTTACGGCGCCCAGCTAAAGTTTTCATACACGTATTGGTTGAACATAAAAAAAATCAATGAAAACAATCTTTTACAACATTTCTTATTTTATTTTCATTTAAAGATCTATGAATACCTTCAATGCCACTTTTATTAATTTTATCAAAAATATTTACCTAATAATAAATAAGTATATTTAAAATAAAATTTTATATATAAAATGATAATTTTAATGCGGCAAATTCATATAATTTAGGTATTTATTTTGGTCAAAAGTTTTAAATTAATATCTTGAATGATATCCTTTGCATTTTAGTACCATTTTAAGTTATTTAGGCATCGATGGGGGTCAAATTTGATTTCAATCACGTGTTTCATAAATTATTCTGATACTATTACTTTTATTTACCTATATATGAAATATATAGTGAGGGTAAGTATTGCGGTCGTGAAAATTTTTGAATCAGAGTTTTAACAACGGAAATGGATGTTTTGAGGTCTACCGAGTCCAAATAACCAAGTCCGGCAAAATGGTCTGTGTGTATGTGAACAAAGTATCTCAAAAACTAAAAGTCGTACGAAAGTGATCTTATGTATTTAAGATAGGTATATATATGCCTTATATGTGACAGCAACTTTTTACGTAAAATCGGTTAACCGGAAGAGCGACTTTATATCAATGATGAAACACATTTTTACAATTTTCTCAAAAATGACTTGAACGATTTTGATTAAACTCAGTGCATCATTGTATAATTAAGTGATCTTTAATATAATTTAGGTCTTTTCCCCATTGATGTCACTTTAGAGGGCTTAAACGCCCAATGTTCATATACATCTTCCTCTAAAGTACCTTTAATATGGTTTATTTAAAAAAATGAACTCCCTTTTATTGATGTTAACTGTAAAAAATGGATAAAAATGAATTTGAAAGAATATGATAATTGGAAACTGAAGAAAAATGCTAATCCAGGTTAAAAATGCAACTCCGGAACTAAGTCAGAATGTATACGTATACTATATCGTTGGGTAGCGAAGAATTTTAGAACAAATAATATCAAATAAATAAAATTATAGAAGGTAAATAATAATTTCAGAAAACTAACATTATTTAACGTAAATCACATGTTTCCGAGGAAATTAAATGAAATTTTCTTACTAAATGTAAACTTTTAAATTTTTTCTAAGTTTAAAAAAGTATTTAAAATCCACTAAATCAAGCCAATGCCATTGTTTAAAATACAATTTATTTTACGTGTGTGAAAAAAGAATTGAAATATTTCATGGATATGTTTATAACCTTAAATACACTTACTGTACTTTAAAAACTCTAGATATGATATTATATTTAAATAATTAGCTATCTATTGGCCGTTTATTACAAAAAATTATCAAGTAACTTTTCAGAAAATTAAATAAGTGAATAATTTGATGAATTTTCGCTTTGTGAAATCCGACATTATCCACTTGCATTTAGTGTGACAGCTTTAGAAAATAACAGTTAAAAAAATAATAGTTATAGTCCGAAAATCGATTAATCATTTATAGGTTAAATATTCAGATATACTTTCAAATCTCGCTAGATATATGTGACCCTTTCGGTTGATAGAATGACTAACTCCATCATTTGGTTTTCGCCACTATCTTTTCCAATTTTCGACTCTAACTTGACTTCACTTCAAAATATAATTTTGAATTATAGCTCATTACAAAGAGGATAAAATGTTTGTTTTTTATTTTTTTTATTTATTTATTTATTTTTTTTTTTTTTTTCTTACCCTCCAAAATGTTTATTGAAACAATGATACAAGGATAAAATGTTGAACATTTTCCTTGCTTATATTATGCAGGTCCAAATTTTATTTTTCGAGATATTTTAACCCATATGTTTAACTAAACTCGTTATCATTTGGTTTTCGCCACTATCTTTTTCACTTTTCGACTATCTAACTCGACGTCACGTCAAAATATTATTTTGAGTAACAGCTCATTAAAAAGTAGATGAAATTCGAAACATTTCCCTCCCCTACAGAAAACAGTCTAACTTTAAGTTTTTAAAATATTTTAATCCAAATGCAAAAAAACTTCAAAAATTCACTGGTGTGTTTAAAAGAGATAAGAATCTCACGGTTTTATTAAAAACACGAATTGGAGATTTTTCGTAACACATTATATCTTTGCATTAAAAATGTAATAAAAATCAATATAAATTTTCGTTCATAAAATTCATGTTTTTTTTTTCATATTTTAAATATTTAAAGTATGACTGTTGATATGATATTACAACTCTTTCATAAGCGTTTTCCTCACTCTATTACATTCCATCATTTTTAAATCATTATTGTTACTAAAATATTTAGTCATTCAAAAAAGTATTATGCATCTAAATTACTAAATTATTTCAGGAATTATTTTTCCAGCCTACAAAATGTTTCTGTTTTATTTAATTCATATTCTCCCACAATTCATACTTATCCATTTTTTATTACTACTGAAAATTAGAAACGATTATTTACTTTAAAAAAAGTTAAAAGTAATCCAAAGGAAGCCAGTATGGAAATTCAGAATTTAAATATGAGAACTGTTTCAATGAGGGAAATATCAAGCAAATAATAAACATTATTTAATTGAAAATTAGAAACTGTTGAAACGAATTTTGTTCAAAATCTTCAGAGTCATTAAGGAGAAAAATTTTAAAAAGTGTAAAATAAATTATATCGGGTATCAAAGTACAATATAAATAAAATACCTGTAACATCTCAGACATATATCTACCTTAAATTCGTAATTTCAATGTCTTTTCGTTTTTGAACTATTCTATCCACACAGAAAAACATCATTTGTACTCAAGGGACCTTGAAACAGTTATTTCAGTTTAAAACTAGGATTTAAAATGTTCCATAATTTCAATACTTCACCTCATTATACATTTCTATATTTGAGTGACCTCATATTAAAGACGAACATCTGTAATTTAAAAAAAGTTGAGAAAAAGTCAACTTTGATTTGAAGTTACTCATTTAGTTAAGTGAGATATTTCATTGAAAATTGTTCATTTCACCATTGTTACTTCTTTACTATAAATATTTTAATGATAAGTGATCAATTATTTAATTGCAAATTGGTAGCATTAATAATGGTCAGGGCTGTTTAGGCAACAACATAACATATTGTTTTTCTATACCATCCAAATACCTACAAAAATCTTTTTAGCCAGAAGGCATTCTTTCCTTTAAAATATTAAAGAAATATGCATCTGATATTAAGAACATAAAGTGCTTTGAAGTTAGAAATATGATAAGTAAGGTCAATGCAGAATTGGTGATATATCAAAAAAATAAAAAAATAAGTAAGTTTCATAAATACATACGTACAAAACGCATATTACTCATTGTTTTACATAAAAAATATTTTCAAACATCAAAAATATTAATAATACGGCTTATATAAAATATGTTAACATTATTCAACCACTTAATTTCCAATGATAGCTGCTAAACATCAAATTCACAAAAATAGTTAGTCATAGAAACATCAAATATTAAATAGTTTTAACAATTTATTTAAATCCAATAATAATACAGTATATTTATAAAAAAGAAAAAAAAAATGCTTAAATACTTAGAAAAGATAAAATTATTGAACAAATTTTAATAAGGCGCCCAGGTCTGATTCAAATTGTATTAAAGGATACTATAACCCACGATTACGTTTGAAATAATGTTGATTATTCCAATTTTTTAAAGGATTAATTATTAAAATTAATACAGAGATAAAATAGACGCATGCACATTAAATTTTTCTTTTAAATAAAAAATAAAAAAATGGTATAACAAAAATATGAACTTTATTGTAGGTAAACCTTCGTCACAACCCACATGGATGTTAAGTGAACATAAAAATATTTAAAAGTTTATTATCACTTTATTAATATAAAATTGTTGATGTATATTATATAGAAACCTAAATCTCAATAAATCATTATCATGAATTGATAATAAATTTCATTTACAAAGCTTACACAAAGTTAATGTTATGATTTACACCCAAGTTGATAATTCGTGAATAGAAAAAAACTTAGCTACTATAAATACAAGAATTTCATGTAGAAGAATTTTAACCAATTTAAAGCTATTTCAAGACATCATCACTTACATAGTTGATCTAACTTAACTATGTATAATGAAAAGTAAGAAAATAAATTAACAAATGATAAGATACAATAACATTAAATGAATATGAAGGATGAAAATTTTATATAAAAAAAGAAAGATAGCTCTAAATTCTTATATACTTTTTTGCCAATGGTCACTCAACATTCAAAATAAAAAAAAAGTTATGTCACAGACATGACATAAAAAAAAAACACTACAGCATGAAGCAGGATACATACTAAGTCGTACATAAAGAGAGTCAACAACTTATCTTTTTTATCAAAAAAATTACTAAGATTTATATATAAATACAGATAATTAAAAGAAACATCGCTACTAAGAATTTTCTGTTTTTTTACCTGTGTTTCACACTGCATGCAACAATAATAAGAAATTTACTTTAGATCAGTAAGTGTCAGAGAAAATAGTATAAAGAAAGAAACAAATAACAAAAACAGAAATCACCTTGTAAAAAAAATTTAAAATAAATAAGTATAAAAAAAAATTAAAACATCTTTTAATTCAAAAAGAAACAAAAACAAAATAACAAAACAATACTTTCATTAGATAATTTTATTAAATTATCCAGGCATAACACTTATTCAGGTTTTAAAATTATTAAAATCAGTAGAAAAATGTAGATTTTAAAAAAACTTACCAAAATCAGATATTTCATTTTTTTCCTCTAAAGGTAATTTCCTTTCTTTTGGCACAAAACAAATCCAAACAAAAAATACAATTGAGAAAAGCACAAATGCTCTAAAAAAAATTCTTCTTTTTCCAATTCCGATGAATGTCATGTTAATTTCTTTAACCTAATAAACGAAGTCATGAGCTTTACACAGTAATTTGACATAAAACCAACAAAATATTTAGTATGAACCGTCAACAACACAGGAACTCAGAATAACACATACAATCACAGATGCAGAGGTATCATAGAAACCTCTGTGAAACCTTCCACATTGACGGGTAAGCTGCACAGAAGTGCCAACATAACAAAAAAGATTTATTAATCAAAATATATTAGCACAATCTCCAAAATAAATGAACCGTGATAGGTAAATGATTTCCATAAAGTTTCCAAATAATAATGACCTGAAGAAAATGTCAATATGAAATGTTTTCTTTCCACAATAAAAATCTCGATTTAAATGTTCTAAAAAATAAAACAATCAGAGAATCAGAATTTTTTATATATATTTAGATTTAAATTTGTATCATGTATTGCACGGATTAGTATATTTTAAGCTAAATTAATAACTGAATATGGAAAAAGCATTTTTAATTGATTCAAAATGTACAGTAAAAATAGGTAGAAATTTTACAATGAAATAATGTTTTAAAATAAAAAAATATTAAGGAAATTCTGAGAGTGAGACTGAAGATTCTTATGAATTTTTTCATAAAGATGCGTTTAAACGTTTTACAAAATATGAGAAATAAAATTATCTAACTTAACCAACACCGACATTATTGTTAAACTATACTAAATTATTTTATTTCTCTTGATACCGACAGCAGATCGAAAATACCAAAAACAAGAAACAAAAATACTAGCATTATGAAGTAACCATTTGTATGTGTTATTGTTCCATAGTTTGTGAAATCTCTAAACGCTCCTTCAAATTTATCTTAGGTATTACCTGACGCTCTGATCTGATATTTTTGGATTGGTATACTAATTTGAAATGGTCCTATTCTCTCAGCAGTTCCTCCTTGGTGTGTTAATTTTCCAAGTACGCAGAAGAAAAAACATTCCTAAATTCTATAATCTATTACTCCAAGTTACTCTATTCACAATCTACTAAATGATAGAACTTATCCTACAGACCTCTTCCTTCAGCAAATCTTTCCTAATTCTTTAACCAATCTACCTTTCTTTTCGAATTATTTTCTCATCAATTAAATCAATCCTTGTTCACATATTTCTTTAAATTCCACGTATTTCAAATCCTACCTACAGCATTGATGCCGATTTCGGAAGGGGAACGAAGGTGGCGATAGTCCACCAAATCGTGAAGGGAGAGAATAACGATTAATTTACAGGAATGAAGGTTTTTCGTACTTTAAGGACTTATAGCCAGCGTAATTCTGGATGTCATACTTTTATTGTTAATATTGTATGGATATATTTTCTATAAACTGTTTTGTATACATTTTTACATAACAAGTCAGACTGTAAAAACTTTGTGCTTTTATTTAATGGTTGTATAAACTATGGAATCAGAATTTTTTTGCAGTTTCAACATTGATTATTTTTAGCTTAAAAAAACAAGAAATGTACCTATGTTATGGAGGCTGTCTCTCGCCCCGTCCTTCCATGTCTAATGCTTACGAATATTTATTATATTGTTTTTCTAGATATTTTCAAATGTAGATACATACATCTGTAACTGGAATATTAATCACGAATTTTTTAATTTGTTTTTTTAAGTTAATTTATTATTTATTTATTAATTAAGTTATAGTAATGAAAATATGCAATTTCCTTCTAATGATCTGACATTACTATTATAAAGATGTTCACAAGCTGAAATATAATTATCGATAAAATTAATTTTCATGGAATTAAAGGTAACATTTGTATTTATCAAAAGTTTCTAAGAGATCTCTGTATGTGAAACTAATTTATTGGCATTCAACACGCTTTTTCCAATAAGTCATGCACGTATTAATTTGATACAGCCCAGAGGAAGAAGCAGGCTCTTTCGTAACCACTAAGCAATTCTTTACAGCCAGTTACATTAATGCCGTTGAAGTTTCTGGCAGATATCATCACAATCTTATATATATTTTTTCGTGCAAATTTCGTTGATCAGTAAATATCTAATTTAAAAAAATGAGCTGGCATGCCTATGTTCAATATCAAGAATCCTCTGAAATATTTCAATTGCTACCTAGTTGAATAGTTGAGTTACCTTGTATATTTCATATAAATATTTATTGTTTAGTATTAAGGAATGCTCTAAAAATAAAATGAAAGTACCACAATAAAGAATATAGTTGGTTAGTAATTCCAATTCTAATTTTATAAAACATATATGATCCATAGCCTTATTTCTTCTTTGCACCCAACGTTTCAGCCCCCTTAGGCAAATTTCAAGTGTTGAAATCTTACCATACAGAATAAAAATAAATTAATTAGACCTCATTTTCTCTTGTAGCATTATTTAAATGCATTTTTTTATTTAAAAAACAAAAACCGGCAGACTTATTTCCATGCCGTAAAATGTTTTGTATTTGTTAAATTTTTTGCTTTAAATTAAAGCATTAGCAAGTTATTATTATTAAGCAATTTATTGGTAAATTAGATCACACATAGTTTTCTTTCTATTACTGTTTCCACCATAAATACGCTTAATGTACTTATTAATCATGAATTTTTTATCTACTCATTTCATGAAAATGGTAAAATTAATGTAAAACAATGTATCGATCTAAAGATGAAAATGATTTTCATGCACTTTACAGTGTTTTTATATTGATAAATAAATTCGAAATTCACAAAAACATATTTGAAAGTTAATGTATATCAAAAATGCACTTAGTGACTTTTTACAGTAAACCGACGATACACTTATAAATAACATGATTATTAAGCATGTTGCCACAATTTCCTCATCAGCACTTTTCCCGGTAGCAGATGAAACTCTCTTTTCCAAGAAAAAGGTGCTCTTTTCTTCATTCTCAAACAATGGAGAAATCTGTAGAAGAACTCGTGATTCTTCAGTAGTCATTTAAATTAAAGTTACGTATTTTATTAAAGTTTTTATGTTGCTTAGAATATTTTCTTTATCCAAAGATTATTTTTTTAATAGAAAAAGGGAAAAAATATTACTATTACATAAAAAATACAATTTTTTTTTTTAATATATGTAAACAACATTATAATTTTTTTTTCTGTTGGCATTACCGACTATGTAGATCTTGTACCGCCTTAACAAGCCTGCACCATCTCGGTCTTGGGCTATTTCTTTCCGTTATCTGCAAGCAGCTCTGTTGAATCTTTATGGATTCTATCTATTCATCTGTTTTTTTGGGCTTCCATGTGGTCTTTTGCTTTGTTTTGAGGCATTCATTGTTACTTAGAGGATTTCAGATGATTGCTACGAGCTATATGCCCCGCCCATCTTAACCTCCGTGCCTTCATATCCTGAGATATTAATTGATCAGTTTCTGTAAGCAGTTATTTATTGGTCTTTCTTCTCCATGTGTTAGTACTCTGATCCCAGATCGCTCCGATTATCGTGTGTGGAATCTTCCTCTCAAATCTTTAACACTGTTTTCTAGTGTGCTGGTTAGTGTCCTAGTATCGCAGCCGTATATTAGAACTATCTTTATCATACCAGTGTACACCCTTATTTTGAGAATTTTCGGGATTTCAATACCTTTGAGAGGGAGAAGAATGCTCTGTTTGCGCTAGTTATAAGCTCGTCTATTTCTGCCCGTTGGTCATTCATTGAGGTTATTGTGGAGCTGAGGTATTTGAATATTTCGACTTTCGGGAATGATTTTTCTTCTACATAGATCCTGTTATTGCGGTGGAATTTTCGGCTAATTATCATATATTTTGTTTTGGCTTCATTTACTTGTAGGCTATGCCACTTACGATCTGCTATGCCACTCTTACCAGTGTTGTGTAGCGAATTTCTCAACGTCTTCTTGATTACTTCCAAGGACAGCTATATCATCTGCATATGCAAGGATTTTATGATTCATTCCGACGTGGACCCCTCCATTTTCCTGTGAAGCTGCTCTTATTAACTTTTCCAGGGCTAAGTTGAACATCAGTGATAGTTCATCTCCCTGTCGTAAGCCTATTAGAACTTTGAAGGCCTCAGATATTTCTCCTTGTTTTAGGACTCTACATTTGGGGTCATTTGTACACGACTTTGTCGATCTCACCAACTTACCGGGAATTCTCATTTCAGTCATGATTAAAAATATAATGAAATAATACTTAACAGAAATAATTACTTTGTTGGAATTTTAGGCACAGTAGTAATGAAGAAATGTAATGTTATGTCCTGGATTGATTAATTACGTTGGAAGATTACACCGAAACGTAAGAGGAAATGATTCGGTTATTTCTGATCTTGCTGATTTGAGTTTTGAAGTTAGGTGGAAGTAAGTGTATCGTTAGGTATCGATATCGAATCTTCGGGTTTGCTAATACTTTTATTATTTATTTAATGAATGTTTATTTAATTTTTAATAGTATTTCTACTAACATGTGGTATGTACGGTTACGCGTAACCCTGATCATTATTGCCCTTGATGTATCAGATATTATTATCATGATGAATTAGCACTTGTATTATTTATCAATACAAAATAAAAAAAGTAACGAGGCCTAATCAAACTTGTTAAAATAAAAACAATAATTGTTTTAAAATACAAAAATTATTTGTAACTGATTACTTAGTTATATCACTATTGATTCTTTGAGAATAAATTTCTAAACGACAATGCAGTAGTTAATGAAATAATAGATTGCTAATTTGATAAAATATAGGATGATAATATTTTTTTATTATTCCTATATTAGTTATTTATTTGGATATAAAGTTGCTCGTGATAATAACCATATGGAAAGTATTCGTATAATTAACTGTACCACAAACAATATTTTTAAGCTATTAAATAACATTTATTTCTTTGTGGTTGAAAGATAAACCATATCTGAAACAGAATGGCTCTAGAGAGTTTATTGGGTGTTAAAAAGAGCTTCATTCACCCGGGTTTAGCTGAATTTGAGGAAGAAGAACCTTTTCATATAAAAAACTTCAATAACCCGATGCAGCTTTGTCTACCACCTATGGCAAATGTATCTTCAGTCAGAATAGTAATTTTTTAAAACATAATTCATGCCGTAGTTAATCTTTCAAGTGTTTCCAGTTATTATCAAGCAAAGTGAACTTCGATTGTGATGAATATGGAAGGAGTACAAAATTCTATTTCGATCATGGTACGACAACTTTGGGATTTATTTTTCAAAACGGGGTTATACTAGCTGTTGATTCCAGAGCGACTGGTGGAAAATATATTGGTATGATAGACAGTAACATAGTTTAGTAGCATATAAACTAATCAAAATATCTTTCTACATACTTCTATTCCTTGATGCTCCAAACAGGGAATTAGAAATCATTATCGACTTTTCAAAACTAATTAATATTATACATGATTTTTGATAGGTAAAAAAATTGATTATAACATTGAAATTCTTGCCAGTTTTCCCTTCGGTCTGTTTGCATCCATCATTAATAAATACAACAGCCGATTTTTTTATTTACTATATTTGTTCTTTGAGTAATATGTGTTACAGCAATACTTTATTTTTTCCTTTTTATTTTTATATAAAATAGTTATAATTTTTACCACCTGTAATTGGGTGATTTGCCTATTAAAGGATATATTATATTATTATATATTTAGATTGTATTATTTACTATTCAATAAGAGAAAAAAAATAATCTTAGAGTGTGATTCGTAGTGTTAAATCTGAAAAGGGCGAGAGCAATAAAACTCATTTATTTCAGGCATGCTTGATGTAATATCGATAGTACAGAATTAATATATCGGTCGATAACATATTGATATATCTGACGTAACAATTCATTTTCTTTTTTTTTTTCAATTGACCTATAACTTGTTAGTTTTGTATCAAGGATATTATTAGCAAAGGTTCAAACTGCAAAGTTTGGTAAATTAAAAAAATGACTTCAGAGAAGTCATCATCGGATTCTGATCGTGGTTGCCTCTAGTTTTGCTTAAATTATCCAAAAACTAGAAACGCGTGATTTGTTTACATTTCAACTCAGCCTGAGGCAAGTAAATCCTTTATCTCCAGTAATTAAAAGGATATGAAAATGCTAAATCTACACATTCCACTGCCTAATAAGATGACATTGAAAGATAATTCTGAGTGGACATTTTACTCCACAGCGTCTGGTCTCAAAGATAGAACTGCAGACGTAACATTGGTTTATGGTGCTCTTGGACCGAGCCATCTAATATATGGTAGATATTAAAATATATGAAGTTAACAGCATATAAGAAGAACACGGTAAGGTTATTACAAAATGGTAAAATAATTGTTTTCGTTCTCCAAACTAACGTCATTCATGAACGATTTGTATTCGATTCAGCTGTCCAGAAAGCATCAGAGTCCATAGACAGCTGTGCATTTAGGTTATGCAAGCTAATGGGTGAAATAAGCCTGATTGTCAAGTAGAGAGAACAAAAGCACTCTCTTCTGTTTGTAGTTGTTCGAAACTTCGACCATCCAGGTCCAAAGATGCCAGTACTATCGTGCTTCACCACCGAAGAAGTAGCCTCAGACCGAAGGACTGAGCTACGGAATGTAGCTAAAGCTAAACCTGTCGATGTTTCCAAGCTAGAGGAGGCAAGCCAAGCTTTTCAGCTAAAAACATTTTATCTAAATACGCTGATGTTTTCAGAGGAATAGGGTGTTTGCAGAGCGAATGTAAACAAAGCATTGATCCTACTTTTCCAGCAGCGAAACACTCACCTCGCCGAATCCCTGCGCCACTAAGGAATGAACCCTCAAGCTGATTCTAGCTGAAATGGAAAAGAAATAGTTCATCAAGAAGGAGTCCGAACCAAGCGATTGGATCAGCAACTTAGTAACGTAGTAAGCAAGTTAAGACTGCCAAGAAGCTATGGATCTGCATAGGCGAGAGATAATATAGATACATTTGAATTCAATTCTAAACAATATGGTGTGACGGTAGACTTCTAGTCTGACCATTTTGAGGTCAGAAGGTGGGACAAATCCCAAGCACCAAATCAGAAACCAACACAGCTTTTTGCAAATACCACTTTGCATGTTATGGAATTTCGTTGGTCTTGGTCACAGAGAATGCAACACCACTTGTCGGAAAAGCTTTGTCTAGATCTTGAGAATTCAATCACTCAACGACCGCATCTTATAACAACCGAGGAAATGGCAAACCCGAGTCCATTGTCAACATAACCAAAAATTTACTCAAGAAAAATTCACTCATGACATCATAAATTCCCAGGCTGCACACTTTGAATGGAGAAACAGCCCTTCAGAACTTCAGCCTGTCCGGGGTCTGTTGTCGAGGAGAACATGGAGTAGAGTTCCGCCTATGTATCAACTTCTCACTTCCGAAGTCATGGGGGATGTACAGGAAATGATCGAGCAGAAGGGGAAAAGATGAAAGGCGCTAAATAGCCAAGGCGCTACGAGAACATAAAATTGGAGGTGACGTCTACGAGAAACCTCAAGACACTGGCAAGAGTAAGCAGCTTAGACACGTTATGGATCAGCAGGGATCTTCATACGTCTCTATCAACTCTAAGCTTTACATAGCAGGTAACCTTTGGCTGAAACCAGCACATAGACCCATATCACCACCTCCAAAAAATCGCATATCGATATGACCTTCAATATTGAAATCGCCTTCATCTCAGCCTAGATCGCCATCACTTTAGCAAAGATCTTCTAGGAAGTCGCCTACGACAAATCCAAAACCAACATCCGTAGTTCACTAGAATCTGAAAAATCTCTACTTTGCATCGTCAACACACAAGTAACAAAACAAGAATGTACTGATGGCCCCATCTCCAGAAGATGCATCATCACCAAATGTTTTCTCGTTTGGCAGAAAAATTAAGCCAACTTGACGCTTCATCTCACACCTGACACCAACAAATGTTAAATTTGTTATATCTAACTAAAAAGTTGCGAGAAAAAAAATCATTTATCACAGGTGTGCTCATATGATACTGATTTATATTTACGTAATTTCGATTGTATAGAAATGATATATCGATCGATAACATACTAATCTAGTTGGCATAACAATGATTTTAGATTATGTTTTATCTACTTCTCACTTGTTTTGTGAAAAGAAATAGGAAATTTAATGGGTACTGAAACCTTATATTGCGCCTTTTGCCATTAGCTGACAGACCTGTTCTCGCTTGAATTGCAAGAGAAATACTCAATATAACAGGCCTTAAAAATAGGAATACCGGCTACTTTTTCATTGAAAATAATTCTAGTGACGTTGATTAAATATGAAGCTAAATTAAAACAAAGTGTTCCAAAATTCCAGACTTAAAGAAGAAAAAATCCACACTTTATTTCGCATAATTGCATCCTTGTTTTTCAATCCTGTCAGCTATAGGAACATTCCAAATTAAACAGTGTCAACTACAAGTGCAACAGAACTATTTTAACTATTCTAAATTTACAATTTTTTAAATTTTATGTAGATGTTTCTTGGATTTGAATTATGTATTTTAGGTGATAAATAGTCAGAATCTAGTTATTTTTAAGGTTATTATTGGTGCCGACATTTCAACCCAAGCATGTGGGCCATCATTAGGGCGTGTTTCAAGCACTAAAAGTATTCAAGTACTGTCAGTACTTTGCTTAAGCATGTCAGCTACTGGTGCATTTGCCCTAAATAAATTCTATGTTAAAATAATGGCGTTAGAAAATTGGCACTTACTGTTAATCTTCATAAGAAATTATTTAATGTTTTTGTGTTTGAGAGTCAGAAGCTGGTATAAACGGTTTGCTACAAAAATGAGGTAGCTTGAACAAAATAATTGTTTGGTCCCAAAGTTTCTAAGTCTAAAATAACCGGAATGGAGATACCTCCTTTTATAGCAAACCCTTCATACGATTTACTATTGTTCTATAAACTCAATTGTTTAGGTTCACAATCTATGAAGAAAATAATAGAAATAAATAAATTTTTGGTTGGTACAATGGCTGGAGGTGCTGCTGACTGTGTATATTGGGATAGAGTCTTATCTAAGCAATGCCAGCTCTTTGAACTGCGCAACAAGAATCCCATCTCTACAGCGGCCGCATCTAAGCTGATGGCTAACATGGCATTTTCCTACAAAGGAACGGGTCTATCCATGGGAATGATGATTGCTGGTTGGGATAAAAATGTACGTTATTAATCTTTCTGCCAATAGTTTCCATAGGATTTTTAAAAGAAATTGTATTTTTTGTTTTAGGGAGCCAGCCTTTATTACGTAGATTCGGAAGGCCAAAGAACAAGAAGTACTGTATTTAGCGTTGGTTCTGGATCTATTTATGCTTTTGGCGTTTTAGATTCCGGGTATTCCTTTGATCTTCAAAATCAAGAGGCTTATGAGTTGGCTAGGAGATCGATATATTATGCTACATTCAGGGACTCTTTTTCTGGAGGTATTATCCGAGGTATGTCAAGTTTCGTTACACATTATTTTGTTATCCAATTAGGAATATTTAAAGTTTTTATTAGGAAGACCTGTTTTTGATTAAAAAATCCATGATGGTATTGAAATATAATGTTAAAAATTATTCCACAATTTTAAATCGGAATAAAATCAATTCAATTTTTGATCTAATATGTATTAGTGTGCGTTTGATCAAAATATAATTTTACATTTTTACACATTTTTTTAGTTTATCATATAAAGCCTACTGGATGGGAAGTAATATCCCAAGAAGATTGCTCAGAATTACATTATAAATACAAAGAGGAGGGTAAATGAGTTGGATTTCAAGAAATAAAAATGATCAAGATCTAAATATCTGTATTAAATAAATGTTTTGTATTATTGTAATATTATAACTAACTAAGTCAGAACACAATTATTCTAATATTATATAAATATTATTGTGATTTTAGAAACCTTATAAGTTATTTAAGGAGAGCAAATTGTTGGAAAAAAAGAATAAAAAGATCAGGCAAAAGCGAAATACGACTAATTTTTACTATGTATTTGACTCTATATCTGCATTCATTACAGATTAAAACAATAATTATAATAATGGTATTTAAATTTCAAATTGGTTTGCTTTTATGGTTTCTCAAATCCGTCAACTTCACCGAAATATGGAAACTAATAATTACCAATACATTTGTATAAACCTGTTTATTTATAATAATATTATTTACAAGGCAAAGCAAACTATGATAAAATTATTAATAAAATGATTTACAAAGAAAGTAAACAATTTATTAATTTTAAGTGAATTCAGGGGCGGATCAGAATAACTCGAAGCCCTTAGCGGTAAAAATTATAGAGCCACCTTGAAAAAAAGTTTTAATTTAAAAGTAATAAATTTAAAAGTTTACTGGCTTATTTTATGAATATATAAAAAAAATTCGGTCATATTCTTGAAGTAAAGGTGATTAAAGACATCGAGGTTCTTGTCCTACACGAACCCCGCTTTTGGAATATTTGGATAAAATTAATTGAGCTTCTGATTCTTGTATTTACATTTGGGTCTCTGGAAAATGTTTAATTTAAATTTATCGGCCATCTGACAGATATCACTAGAATTGTTAATTTCGTTGTACGCTTTGGTAGAGATTGGGAGTTTAATACGATACGTTTAATTTCGCCACAATTTATGTTACACTTTTTGTTTATTATTTATTTGTTTCTTCTGTTTATTTTATTTTTCTTGTTTATATGGTATGAATGTGGTATTACCTCCCCATAATTGTTGTCCTAGTGACAGAATACTATATTAATAAATGAGTAAATAAAAAAAGAATTATGTTGGATGCGAGCACACAAAAAACAAGTATGTGAGTAGGGACTGAAATATGACAAAAGGCACCCTTCTCTAAAGAATATGTAGAACTCTGTGGCTCAGAGTGTAGTCAACTAAATAAAGTCAATAAAGTCAACTAAATGATCAATTGTCACCATCATAAAATTAAAAAATGCTTTGAACTTATGAAATTATCCTTCAAAATAATCTTTAGAACTCAATAATATGGATACCGGTTTTATTTTAAATACAATTAGTCTGTTAGATATGTGAAAAGTGGAGTAATAAGTTTTGAATGTAAACATTTACTTCCTTCTAAACTCTAAACATTTACTTTGTTTATCAATTCTATACTTGATTTAGTATAAAAAAATAGACACTACACAGTTTGACAACACTAATGAAGTATAATCTTTTAATTGACAGCTTACATAAATTGAATTAACTCAAATTTGACCAAATATTGGCAATGGTATTTCTGGCAGTTTTAATCGGTAGTTTTGCTGCCTTTTGTTTTCTACAAGAGCATTTAATTGTAATAGTTTATGGTAATGACATGGATTTAAGCACATCCAAGCACAATTTTGGTTTTAGTTTTATTGTAATACTCATGTTCTCACATCCTCCTTATTTTGTTCTCAATTACTTATTCCCATTTGGTCAGCTTTATGTTAATTATTCCATGTAATTTTATTTATTTTTTTTTTTTCCGTAGAAGTGGAATATAATAATTCTTTTAAGAATCCGTACTACCAAGAGATGGGGTTGGATGGGAATGAATAAATATAATGATCTCATTTGCTTTAATTGAAATAGTCTAATACTGAGATGTTTTATCATTAAAATTACTTTCAATTCACTTTTTATAAATTGGATTAACATTTAAAAATTACACCTTGAAAATTAGAGATACTCTTTAGACCCAAAAATACAAGACGAATTGTAAAGAAATCTTTCTGTATTTCATTTCTTTAGCTCATTGCACTAAAAAAAAGAAGCTCTACATTTGTCGATCGATTCTAAACAAGGAGGTTTCAACTTCACACTGTTATAGTTTATATCTTGGTACAAGTTTTATTTAATATCTAAGTGCTTATGTAAATTTTAAAAGGCTTTACTTGACCTGTAAAATCTTTCTCGCATTTCTGAGTGTAAATTTCTTAAGATTTTTACCAATTTTTAATTAGACAATTCTTAACTTTTAAAGTAAGATTAGTTCCAAATGGCAGAACTACTGTTAGATGCCAATATTAGAGGGTATGTGTTTCTTCCTATTGTTTTGATTACCTTTTTGGTAGGCATTGTGAGACATTACATTGCAGTTTTAACTACTACACCCAAAGAGGCGGATATTTTACAAGTTCAAGACAGCCAGGTATTGATAAGATCCAGAATTCTTCGTGAAAATGGTGGTTACCTAGTTAGCTCATCTTACCATACTCGAAGAAATTTTTTTAACAATGAAGATACAGGATATTTCAAAACTCAGAAACGACAGGCTACAAGTCAAAATCCAATGACCGACCCAAATATGATGACAGATATGCTCAAAGGCAATATCACTACAGTGCTTCCCATGATAATAATTGGTGGTTGGATCAACTGGATGTTTTCAGGATTTGTTACAACAAAGGTTCCATTTCCTCTCACACTAAGATTTAAACCTATGTTGCAGAGAGGAATAGAACTTGCTTCCCTAGATGCTTCATGGGTGTCTTCTGCATCATGGTACTTCCTTAATGTTTTTGGATTACGGAGCATATATGCCCTTGTTCTAGGTGAGAATAATGCTGCTGATCAATCAAGACAGTTTCAGGACCAGATGTCAGGTGCTGCAATGGCCATGCCTCCAGATCCTAAAGCTGCATTTAAGTCAGAGTGGGAAGCTCTTGAGATTAATGAACACCATTGGCTGTTGGCAGATGCTGATAGTGATCTTTTAGTTAATCATATCGAAGATAAGATTAAAAACTGATTACTATGTTATATAGTAAAATTTGTTATTATTTATATTTATCTAAGATCATTTTATTCAGTTTTCTATCTATAACTAAATTTATAATTTTCGTATATTTTTTTGTTACCTTAGGGAAATTTTTTGTCAATGATTTGCTTTAATACAATGTCACTTGTTTCTGTCATTCTTTTTTCTTTTTCATAGTATTTCAATTTTTGTGTTTTAAATGTTATTAAATTTGCATTATTCTTATAGAAAATTAATGATTACAAATCTGTCAAAAATAAATATCAAAATAATTGTATTAATTGTTGCAGTATTTTTTTTTTAATGTAATTTATATAAATTGGTTGTATTTACATTGGTTATAGTATATTTAAATTGATTCTGATTAAATTACTATAATACTGTTGGCACCATGTTAAAAGTAATGAATGTGAGACTTTGGACAGGTTAACATTCATTACTTTAACTGTGCTGTTGATATCTCTACAATTCTAATTTTATTAAGTACTAATTGTATTGTATTAATGCTTTATCAATTTTGAATCATAGCTATAAATTCACTAGATACAAATAACAATAATTTAATTAAAAAAGACAAAATTGATAATACGTTGTACAATTTTATTTTAAATCATGTATAGTTGAACATTTGAGCATTAATCTTTCTATATTTAAGAAAAATTAACGTCAAGACAGGTATAGTTTGTTTTCTAAAAATATAAACATAAGCAGTTTAGATCGCTTCATGTTTTTATTTTATTCTGAAGATCAATCCTAAAATTACTTATGTCCTGAGAAAAAAAATTACAGAACATCATAACAATATTTTGAAAAAATAAACTAAGTACTACTATAGTTCTTTATGTAATTGAAGAGATGTTGGTTGGGGTGTACAGTCAAAAATAAAAATAAATAAATAATATTTATTTTTATAAAGATGAATTATATAAAAATAAATATCATCTATTTAGTTTTACTTTTGAATGAACACCCCAACCAACTTCTCTTCCATTTTCACTGCAGTCAACCATTAATGCAGGATTATGTTAATTGATTTGTATCAAACTCTTGGTTCAACTATTCAATAATAGTGAACTTCATATAATTTATATTTCAAAGTAAATGATTCTTACTTCCACAATCTCAATGTTTAAGTAAAGTTGGACCGGCTAAGGCTGTCATGAAACATTTTGCTGTTTAATGAGGAATTAGAATTGTAGAAGTTATTTATTTTAACCTTAATATTGAAACAATAATTCCAAAACAATTTCTGACTTCATAATCTACAGTGTTAAAAGGATGAATTAACTATTAGCTGAAAACCATATTTCCCTTGATAGGAACCGAAGTCTTAAAAAAATAAAGAATGAGGTCATGGTCTAATTCTTAGTCTCTTTTTATAAAACTTCAATATATCAGTAAAAGATTGATTTAATTTAATTTTTTTGGTTTCAATAACCTAATAAGCAAGATGGTATTTAGTTAAAACTAATCCAGTTTTTTTTTAAACTTATTTATTTAAAAAAATTACAATCTGTCTCAATTAAGGACATAACAAATTTAATAAAAATTTATGATGTGTTGTCCACTGTATATCAAAGGTTTTTTAAATTTTATTTTCAATAGATATTGCTAGATAATCTCATCTTAATCATAAACGCATACATTTTTTAACTCGTTTATAGTCGAGTTTTAAAGAATAATGAATCTGATTTATACATAATTTCTTTGGGCGAGAATATTTATCACATCTATCTTTTTAATTTTATTATGCACTGACCTATTGAGGAATTAATCCGAAACATAAATGATTATATTATTCTACTCAATAATGCAACTTTTCCTCCAAACAGTCGATAATGTTGCTAACAAAAATGAGTTATTTCTTATTGTTTTTTACAGGGAAAGCGGTTGCTGTAATATAAATCCATTTTGCATCGCTAGAAAAAATCATATTGCAAACGAATATGATAGATCGCAGTAGTAAACTCACTTTTCATTATTCTATTAGGAGTAGCGTAATTCAATATTAATTTAAAATAAAAAATTACATAATTAGGAAATTAGTGATTTTCAAATCTGTACTTCATGATTGGACAATCACAGCATAAATAGCTTTCTATTCTATAGAAGATTGCACTAAAATATAATTATTATTAAATTTAAGCCTTGCATCCACAAGAGTATTGGGATTGCAGTTCCGAAGATGGGAATAAATATCCCGAAACGTCAACTAACTTGTTAACATGTAACGTTGATAATAGAAATATACTCAATTATTACCAATTGGAAGTTATTATTGCCAAATAACGAAAAATATAAGATTTTTCAGTTGTTTTTTTTTTTAATAGAATATTTTAATTTTTCTTTTTAAGAAAACCATAGTTTTTGTACTTAGAAATTTACTATAATTATGAATGATGGTGTAAAAAGGAAGTTCAGTGTAGTTCAAAACATTATCCAATAAGAAACAATGATTTATACCCAACATAAAGCTTAAAAGTTACAACTTATACAGTGGCAAAACCATAAGAACAGTAGGGCACAAAAACTTAAAAATGAAAATTAAAAATTATTTGTTTATAAATAAGGTACACAAAATATATCAATAAAACTAAAATCTTACAACAAAATAACTGGTTGATGATTTGTTATTACACCTTCAAAATTTGTAAGCTGAGGCATCTAGGTTCATTTTCTTTCTTCTTTCTAGATCTTTAAGTCTTTGAGCTTTCTTCTTTTGTTCTTTGGCTAGTAAATCTTTAATAACAAATTCAGGCAGACGCTTGCCTTTCCATAGTTTAGGCAGAAGCACTGCATTGACTTTATCTAATTTTTCTTGGACATATTGCCTAGCATCAAAACTTTCTGCATCTTTAATTTTACACATCAGCTCTGCCTGAAAAGCTTTTTCTTTTTTCATTTCTCTTCTTTGACGAATTTTAGCCCAAACGAATTTCATTTTAAGTCTAAGTTTTTTAAGTTTGTGTCTTTTCATTTTGCGGCGTCTTATAACGATAAGGCGGGCAGCTTCTTTCTTAATGATCTTATCTGGTTCTTCTACAACTGTTACTGGTGCTTTATCTTCAAGAGGAACTATTCTAATCGGAAAATCAATAATGTTTTTACTAATGAATGGAATATCAAGAATGCTTTTGTTATTGGTAATTGGAGTTGGATCAGTAAATATGAGATTGAAACGAGGGCAGAGTGCTGAAGATGGATTATAAGTAGTTTGTGCAGGTCCCTGTGATAAATATCTGATAGATCCACCTTTAAATAAATAAATACCATAATTAATATTACACATAATAAAAACTATCTTATTGAAGGAAGTTAGTCCACTATTCTACATATCGTGGATGATTAATAGTCAGAACACAGTTATTTTTAAGGTTTTTATTGGTGCCTATAAAAAAACCTGAAAATGACTGCGTCCTGAATATTAATCATCCATGAAAAAAAAATATATATCCTAGTATTATGAAAGAAGTGTAAATAGTAAACTTTGGTAAATCCTAAATCACTAATTACATTTATATTGACTAGAAAATTTCAATAATAATATTTTATGTTCTGCATAAAACTGAACTGTTTTTAAGGAAGAATTAAAAATTTATATATAAAAAAAATTCACCAAGCACTCTCAGCGTGGAAGGTAGTCTCCTCAGCATGATTTCAAACATTTTTGAATATTTCGAGTAAGACTAAGTAACACATATCAGGTATAAATATTCAGTATTACAAATATTTTGTTGTCAAATAAATATAACTACATGCCGAAATTCTTCTGAGAAACAGTTTGGTAAGGTAATTTTAAAAAATAATGAAGTTTTCCAAAGAGGTTCCTCTGAATTATATTTACTGTCTACATTTTACATTGTCAGAGATTTCTAGTGTCCAGGTCTCACAGCCATATATTAGAGCTAGCTTTATCACAGCATTGCACACCCTTAATTTGAGATTTTTCGGGATTTCAATACCTTTGAAAGGAAGAAAAAAGAAAACATGTTTGCGCTAGTTATACGCTGGTCTATTTCTGACCGATGGCAATTCATTGAGGTTATTGTGGAACCAAGGTATTTAAATTTGTCTACTCTCGGGAATGATTTTCCTTCTACGCAAACACTGTTATTACAGTGAAATTTTTGGCTTATCATAATCAGGCCAATCTTCTCTACATCTCTTTTCAGAGTCTTAGCGAATTTCTCAATATCCCCTTGATTACTTCCTAGTACACCTATATCATCTGCGTATCCAAGGATTTTATGATTCATTCCGACGTGAATCCATCCATTTCCGGTGATGTTCTTATCACCTTTTCCAGGGCTAAATTGAACAACATCGGTGATAGCCCATCTCCATGCCTCAAACCCGTTCGAAATTTGAAGGCTTCAGATACTTTTCCTTGTATTAAGACCCTACATTTATGGTCATTTGTACACGCCCTTATCAATCTCACCAACTTACCAGTAACACCCAGTTCAGTCATGCTTTTCCAAAGACAGTTCCTGTGCACAGATCGTGACCGTAATGACCGTCTGCGGTAGTCATCCACCACCGGTTGCAGTCATCTATTGTAACTTGTTGAATTTTACTTTTCCATTTTCGAGGCTTCTCGACAATCCCCATCCGTCAATTCCATCCTCTTTGTAATATACTATTATTACAAATTGTATATTAACACGACGCCGTGCTAGAGAAACGAAAAAGAAAAAATAGTGTCGAAAACCAAATGATAACGAGTTTCAGGAAAGATATGGATTAAAATATTTCAGAAACTAATAGTCGATCCTGCATACTCTAAACAATATTTCATCCTCTTTATAATGAGATTTTATTTATAATTTATATTTCATATTACAATCTCGCCTTGTTGATGTTTTCACTTACATCGTGTGGTCTAAAACACACAACTTAATATTTTTACAGGAAAAATACAATTAACAGAAATATAGCTAACATTAGAATTACATATTTGAATCGACCAGTGAATTCAAATTCGTTGTTAT